ATTGGCGGAGGGCGGACCAGAGCTCTAGGTCTGTGTATTGGGAGAAGGGGTCGAGATTGGAGCGAATGGTGCCTTTGAAGAGGTTGGGGTCTTGAGGGATGATTGTGAGGCGGGAGCGGAGGTCTTGAAGACCGACGCGGGCGATGTCTTGGTCGTCGATTATTATGGAGCCTGTGCGGGTTGAGGAGTTAGTGTGGTTTCGTGACAGGAAGGGGATGGATTGGACGAACCACTAGAGATCTCGTTGAGCCGGAAAAGTGTGGTAATGATACTGGACTTCCCGGCGCCTGTTCGGCCGACAATCCCAATGTGCTCGCCGCCCTGGATATACATCGAGATTCCTTTCAACACCGGAGGCAGATCAACCCGATAACGCATGTGAACGTTGGAAAATGTGATTTCGCCTGTTGCCGGCCATGACGGAGGAATCTGAGCAAGGTGCAGAGGCGCTTCCGAGTCTAGCTTCGTTCCATAGTAATGCAAGCGCTCGGTAGCATTCATCGCGTTTTCCACCTCAGCGAATTGCCGGACGATGTACTGTATCATCTGTACAATACTCAGGATATACGAAAGCACTAGCCCAGCAATCGAAGGCGAAACGTCGAAGCGCGAAGTCACCACCAACATACCTGCCGTGAAGATGAGGATATTGCCGACCAGGTCGAGACGGACAGACAGCCAGCGCTGATTCGCAAAGGTGAGGAAGTAAGCACTGTTCATGTTGTCAATCGCAGCTTTGAGTTTGTCCACGAAGATGTCTTCGAGACCGTAAGCGCGAATGGATGCGATTCCGGACAAGGCCTCGCTGAAGCGGGCGAAGACGACTGATTGGAGGACAGATTCATGGCGTTTGATCTCACGGGCGGAGGCGCGGTAGTAAGAAGTGTAGAAAAGAAAGAGGAGGAAGAGAGGTGCAAGGGCGATTGCGAACTGAGGGTTGTATTTTTAGCACGGCAGTTCGATAGTACGCGGAGTTGGAGGCTTACGTAGTGGAAATAGACAATGATCAATGTGAAGATGGAGATGATCATGGCCAGCGTGACGAAGTAGAGCCGTATAGCATCCGTCAGCTCAAAGTCCATCTGATCGATATCCTTGGAGAAGCGAGTGGTGATACGGCCCATGGGCGTTGTATCGAAGAATGACATAGGCGCCCGAAGAACGCTCTTCATGGCTTGGTTGAGCATGGTTTTACTGGACCTGGTGCTCAACAAAGCAAGGGTTATGGCGAAGAAGTACATCAGCAGAGCCTGTGAGACTCCCAAGGCCGCGTAGATGCCGATGTAGACGCCGTTTCTGTAGCCAAATTTGTTAGAGATCCAGTAGGAGAGCCAGAGGCTGGTTGCGATGTTTGTGCCTTGCGCGAGGACCAGCAAGAACACGATGAGCGGCGCGGTTAAGATGGTGCCTGATGCTCGAATATATGCCATGTATAGACTCCAGGGCACACTCTTCGTTGCCCGCTCTTCGGCCTGCATCAGCTGGGTCTTCTTCTTGGTGGCCAAGGCTTTCTTCGCTTCTTCAGGCTTCGTTTCCTCGATAGCCTCTTCTTCCTTGGCAGCTTCTGCTACTTCTGTCTGCTTCTCCAAAGCTGTGGTAAGCATCATTTTGGCAAAATCCTGATTCCTTTTTATGAGCTTATCGTAGGTGTCAAACGCTCGGATGCGTCCGTTTTCCATCCAGATGACTCTGTCGCATCTGTGGAGGATATTCAGTTGATGTGTAGCCAGGATACGGCATTTGTTTTTCAAAAGACCACATATGGCATTGTCGAAAATGTGCCGTCCAACATGCACATCCACTGCACTGAGCGGATCATCCAGTAGCACAACTTCTGCATCGAAGTAGATTGCGCGTGCGATGTTTAAGCGTTGTTTCTGACCGCCGGATACTGTGATTCCACGCTCTCCAATCTCCGTAGCATCGCCATCTGGGAGCATGTGAAGATCCGTGGTCAAAGCGCAGGCCTGCACAACTTTCTTGTACCAGCCTTCGTACATGGTTTTTCCGAAAAGGATGTTGTCCCTTACAGTCGCGTTTTGGATCCATGGGTTTTGTGGACAGAAAGCCCTCGATGCTCCCCAGATGACCTGGCCGTTCGTTCTCCGCATATCCCCGGCCAAAGCTGCCAGAAGGGAGGATTTTCCCGAGCCGACCCCGCCAATTACAGCGATCAATTCGTTGCGCTGAGCATTAAAATTCATCTCATGGAGCTGGAATGGCCGCCTCGTCTCACTGGTTTCGAAAGAATCATCCTGGTCAAGATTCTTTGTGCTAGTGACGAGTCCACTCTCCTTTTCCTTGGCACTTTGCTTCGCTCCCTTTGTTGCAGCTTTGGCTTGAGCCTTCGCCTCGGCAAGCTTCTTCGCTTTTGCCTGAGCAGGGTCGGCAGTGGGAGTACGTTCCCATGTGAAGTCCGCGTTCTTCACCTGGACTGCCTCTACCGTCTTAGTGTTGACTTCACCATCCTTCTCCATCTCCTCCGCTAATAAGTAGTCTTGGATCCGTTCAAGCGCGGCTCGGCCGTCAACCACTTGTCCAATAATAACAGGAAGCATGCTGAGAGGCATCCGGAGAGCGTTGAATAAAGCAACCGACGAGAACACTGCCGCGGGGTCGAGCTTGTGGCGAGTCAAAGAGAAGGTAACAAATGACAGCATCATGGCGAAGATAGGCATAGATATGGAGACTGTAGCAATGATGTTCCGGATAGCGAGGAGGATTTGAATGGATCGAACTTCTCTTCCGCGGATCTCATTGATCTGGTTCATGAACGACCTCTCCCATCCGAAAAACTTGACGAATCTCATAGCTTGCAAGATTTCTTGCGTCAAGCTGACTCGCTGGTCGGTGATCTTACTAATAGCTTTGCGGCGAGTGAACAAGAACTTTACCGCTTTCCCTAGAAAAGGGAGGCCGACCAGAAGCAGGGCAAACCCGGACAGAGCGCTGTAGCCCAGGTTGACCAACAGGAGGACGAGCGTAAGGTTAATAGAGACCGGTGCAGTCCAGATCATGTGAAACATTCCTGATGCCTGACTAATGCGGTAAGTGTCAACCGACATCAGGTTGACTACCCGCCCATTGGCCCAGCCCGAGCCATCGCCTGTAATGCCGGGAGTATCCTTCGGAACGGGCTTCTTCTTCTCTTTCTTCGTCCGCTGATTCATCTTTTCTTTTCCAATGTCGACAACTTGATCGAGGTGAGATTTGGTCTCCCCAGCCTCGGTGATAGCCTTCCCACCCGCCTTCGCTCGCCCGGAGACTCTCATCGACTTGTCGAAAATCATGGCAATTAAGACAGCGCGTGCTTGACCGCCGACCATCATACCGAAGTAGAGAGAATGACTAGTTCCCATACTTTGTAGAATTTGCATGGCGGTGATGCCGAGGACCAGCCCGACCCCTTTGCCTATGCTTGGCCCCTTCGTATGCTCTAAGCTCGCAACGTAGGACTCCGCGGCGAACTTGATCAGGTACCGCAGCGTGTATGGGGAGACGACCGCAAGTATGTTGGCGAAGAGTTGGCAGATGCCGCCAAGCCAGAACTCGATCTTGAATGTCTCGTGCATGGCCCACAGCAAGGGGTGTCGGTCTCCCCGCTTGAAGCGCTTCTTGTAGGAAGCTTGCACCTTAGCTGTAAGGATCTCCGCGGAACGGTTGGGGTTGACAAGCCAGATGTCGGCAATCTCGAGGGGCCTCTGGTATCCAACCTGTAATTACTCGTCAGTCACGCTGTAAAAGGCGATCCATAGATCCGCATCACAACGGGCACTCACAGCCATAAGTGGAGACATCCACCTGAATGTGAAAAGACTCCAGAGACTCGCGCCATATTCACGAGAGACAGTGCGTCCCACTGGAGATGGAGGTTTACGTGATTGCTTTAGAGGATTCAACCTCTTGTACCAAGGTTTCCGACGTTTTGGCTTCTGCGCTTCGAGCTTGGCTCCGTCTCGTGAATCCGAGGAACAAGATGTACTTTCCCTGGCATCTGTATGATTACTCTCGATGGTATTAGTTCTTCTGTGTTCTTTCTTTGGATTCCATTCCTCTGTTCTGGGTGGAGAAAAGGTAGGTATGGGAATAGTGAACGTCAACTGCTTCTTGTTCGTCCGTAAAGGCATTTCTCGCTGCTAACTTGTTTATCTCAAGACCTGTACTAGGTTAGTGTTGGCGAGGGCAACAGTGGGAAAATCAGAATGTTCAATTTTCAGTGTAGAGGTAGACTGTAGTGGATAGCTCTGTTCCCACGTGATAGGGGTCCCACTCTTACTGTCACACACCGTAATATTCCGGTTTCAAAGATCAGCCATAGATCCATACAGCTAATGATAGTGATGTGGATTCAACAGCTAAGCCCAAAGCCAACCACGGATCTTAGTGATCCGAACGTTCAACCTGTGGACAACGGTCCTCATCCCAGGCAGTGAGGCGGCACAAAATGTAAGACGTAGAAAGTTTGGAGTCCGGCCAACAAGAAGCAATAAGTTCCATGCCAATGGAACTTGAACCCGTCCAGACCTCAGATCTTTCCTTGTGGGCACTTTGCCTCGGTGTTCGGTCGGGTCTCAGGTTTTGGTAGGATCCGGTTGTAGGACCCTTGCTGTGTAGATCTTCACAGGCTGGCATGCCTTGCTATTGACCTTACTAACAATGTTGGGCCCCACAGAGCTGGCTCGGATGCATGACATGCGGTTTACAGTTCGTACAGCTAACCAGATTTAGATTAGGCTTTTCGCTTAATCATTTGCAGCTTGAAACGCTGACCATGACAAGCATGACAGGAGTGGCTTTGCTTCAGTTGATTTCCAAAAATAGGGATATGGTTACGCCTTTCATAGTTTCCAGACGTACTAGACGAAGAAAACACATTTGCTGTATTTGTAGAGCATAGAGTCCTTTGGGTTCAGTTTGACTGAGACTTTGCATCAGAACTGTATATTTGCGCGTCGTCCGCTTTCAAGAAATCTCATGTGACTGAAAGCACCACACTCACCATGTTTGTCCCAAAATATATCCTCACATTCTCGCCGCAAAGTCTGTACCCATTCTCATTCTTCAAGGAATGGCTTTCAGTGCTGTTGAGCAGGTTCTCAGCCAGGACATACCGGAAAATTGCTCATACCCTGCCGGCGGTTGAGCTGGATACTACTCTCCGCGAACTTTACTCTCTGGATAACCCCCACGGCCAAAACATTATCCAAGTCTATGCCATACCATCGGCAACAACACAGATGACCTCTTCTATCCCACTTTCAACAAGATTTGCCTATCAATCTCCTAGAGCACTCAAAATGGACAGTAACGTTTTGGCACGAACAAATCTGCAAGCTGGGCCTCAATCGTACGGTTTCGTCTCTGGCAACATGCCTCTGGTCCTCTTCGACGTCGATGCCGCTGGAGACGAAGCGGCCCAAGTAGAGCACATGCTGTCACCGATAAAAACCCATCAAGCGGATGCTCTCAAAGTCTTCGACCAGCTGGCACCGGCCCAACGTCCAGAGCTGCGGTTCGTCTCCTCACCAACCGAAATCACTACGAGCCCCGATGACAAAATTGCTATTTGGAATCCAATGGACTGTCTTATTCACCTTCCACACTTGTTCGACCCCGAGAAGCATTACGGTCTTCTGTCAAAGAGAGGACTGGCTGTATCAGGAATCCCAACTCCTAAGTCAGATGTCATCGATTGCAACCTACAGCCCGACCAGGTGAACGACGAAAGCCTCTTGAAGGATGAGGTCGAGCGCATGATGAAGCCTATCATCGAGCGACCAATTCCCTTTGTCATCAAACTTCCGCAATCTCTTGGTAGTCAAGGCGTCTTCGTGGTTCAAACAGATGCAGAAAAGCAAGAGGCCATCGGACTACTGACTGTCGAAGTCAAAAGAATGATCAAACAAATAAACGAGTCGAACAAACACATGCGACCGGCCAGTCTCGTGCTTCAAGAGACGATTCCAGGAACAGCTGTAGCGCTATCTCTGTTCGTCACCAAGAAGGGACGAAGTGTTTTCACGGGCTGTACTGAACAGATCTTCGATAACCACGGACATTGGGATGGCGGTTGCATTGATTATAAGCAACAAGACAATCTTCGCAAACAGTACGCCGACATCGCCCAAGAAATGGCCACCTACATGCACCGGAAAGGATACTACGGACCCTTGGGCGCAGATGTGATGACAGATTTGAAGGGCAAACAGCTCGTCATCGATCTGAACGTGCGAGTTCCCACCAGCTATCCCTTGGGTTTTCTCAAAAAGCACTTTTCGATTCAGCGAGGCTTCCATGACGCCGCTCTACTCTACCCACTGGCCCTCAAAGGCACGCGAGATGACTTCCAGCGCCGGTTTGAGAAAGAGATCCAAGAAGGTCAGATTGTCATTTGTGGGTGGTGCAATGGTTCGGGAGGCCCAGGTGGGAGATACAAGTACAGCATTTCATCAGTTGCGGTGGGAGGAGAGACTCCAGCTCATCTACGCCAGATGATTGAGAGAATCAACGTTGATAGAGTGCGTAAGTAAACTGTGTATGATGGAGAGAGAGTATGATACATGTAAACGAAAATTTGATTAGCGTGGGGATATTTTACCTCTTACCTCGGCACTGCGATAACGCTAGTGTTTTAATCATCATGACTAGTATAAACACTAGATACCTAAGTATTTCGAAACATCCAACAAAAGACCATCCAACATTTGTTTGTGAATGTACTGGATTTACTATCTTTATTCTATCAAACAAGCGAATTGGATTATTTATCAGCAGACAAATCTGGTCACAGGTGGAAATGACATGGGCACAGCTCACTGGCTTTGTAAGCCCAGCTTCACCAATAAGGCTGTCCTGTTCAGCCCAGTCCGGGCTATCTGGATGACAACAATGCAGGGCTCTGCCATAAGAGAACAAATATTAGCTATACACAAGATGACAATTAATGACAGCGAGCCTGGGCTGAAGGGTCCCAACCGAGGCTGAGATGGCATGACTGTCAGCCAACTTTAATCACGTGACACGTGTTCGCTGAAACACAATCCTCCCGATCTCCAACATGAGTGTGCTAAGCTCCAGACAAGTTGCGCAAGTCATCTCATGCATACGCCATACAACCAAAGCCACGGACTTCAACGTTGTGTAAACCAGAGACCGACACCCCTCTGCGCATCCACTCAGGGATTTTCGAGATGTAAGTAAGGCTGAGAGATTTATCACCGCGATTTTCACGTCTTATACTCGTCATCGCTTTGCTATTTGCTCAACGCTGTCTTCATTTTCCTAGCAGCGACAAGAGTATCGCTTGCCTTGTGCTACTCGCCGTAGAAATGGGTTATCATGCTTATGTTCTTCTGAGTCTTTCCTGTCTGACCTGCTACGTTATTGTTCAGAAAATCATCGCCTACGTTTCCGCGCGCGCCTTCTCAAAAGCACACGGCTGTGAGCCAGTTCATCGAATTCCTCAATCAGAGCGCATAATTGGCTATGGCTACTTTAAAGAACGAATGGAGGCTGCCAGGAATAAAACGCTACTTGAAACCACGCTGAAGCGATACGAGGAGCACGGCATGACATGGTCTTCTACGGCAATGGGTCGTGTTTTCGTCAACACCATCGATCCGGAGAACATCAAGGCGGTTCTTGCAACGAATTTTAATGATTTTGGACTAGGGCATCGACTGCACACGTTTGGACCACTATTAGGAAAAGGCATCTTTACGACTGATGGCGCACATTGGGAGCATTCCCGTGTATGTGCAAACACCTGCTGTATGTATTTGAAAGCAGTGCTGACTTTACTGCTGACAGGCACTGGTCCGGCCGAATTTCTCCAAAGCCCAAATCCAAGACTTGAATACCTTCGAAGTCCACATTAAAGAACTCATCAGCCTGATACCCCGCGACGGGTCCACAGTCGATCTTCAGCCCCTTTTCTTCCGGCTCACCCTAGACAGCGCGACCGAATTTCTCTTTGGCGAGTCTGTAAACTCAATGCTTGCACCCCAAGGATCCGAGCAGCAAATTTTCGCCAGCGCATTCGACTACGCGCAAGGCCAAATCCTCTATCGACGAAGCCCCCTACGGTTCTTGGCGTTTACTGCGAACAGAAAATTCGACAAGGCATGCAAGACTGTGCACGATTTCGCAGATAAATTCGTATATAATGCCTTAGCTCATCGCGAGAGCGAAGATGCACAAGAGAAGCCGCCAGGCCGCTACGTCTTCCTGAACGAGCTCGCGAAAGTAACCAACGACCCACGACAACTACGAGACGAGCTCCTAAACATCCTCCTCGCGGGTCGAGACACCACCGCCAGCCTCCTGAGCAACACATTCCACGTCCTCGCCCGCCGGCCCGACATCTGGTCCAAACTCAAAGCCGAAGTCGACGAGCTCAAGGGCGAGAAACCAGACTACGAGACCCTCCGAAACATGAAATACGTCAAAAACCTCCTCAACGAATGCAAGTCCCCTCCCCTCCCCCATGACCACAACCCCCTCTAACCCACCCCACCCAGCCCTCCGCCTCTACCCCGTCGTCCCCACCAACTCCCGCTTCGCCAACAAACCGACCCTCCTCCCCCGCGGCGGCGGCCCCGCCGGCACCGCCCCCATCCACATCGCCGCCGGCCAGAGCGTCACCTACTCCGTCCACGCCATGCACCGCCTCTCCCCCGCCTACGGCCCCACCGCCCACCTCTTCCGGCCCGACCGCTGGGACACGCTGCGCGTCGGCTGGAACTACCTGCCCTTCAACGGCGGCCCGCGCATCTGCGTCGGGCAGCAGTTCGCGCTGACGGAGGCCGCGTACGCCGTCGTGCGGCTGTGCCAGGAGTTTGGCGCCGTCGAGGACCGCGACGGCGGGGCGTGGAGGGAGCAGTTTGGGCTGACGACGGCGAGTTTGGAGGGGGTGAGGGTGGGGTTGGTGGGGAGGTGGATGGATGGATAGATCGTGTAGGGGATTTTTCCTGCGTCGCGGTGGGTGGGGGCGAACGAGCGCTATTGCAATCAAATCTGCATCCATACAATCATCTAACCCTTTTCACATACCCCCCCCCCCTCCCCCCTCCCTCCCTCCCTCACCATCCCTCACCATCCCACACCCATCCCACTCCCATCCCACTCCCTCCCTCCCTCACCATCCACACACCCACCCCCATCCACACAACCAACCCCATCCACAACCCCAACCCCAACCCCAACCACGAACCCCCCTAACAGCCCCTCTTGAAAAAGCCCCCACCCGCCCTCCCTTCACGCATCCCAAACCCTACAGCCTCAGCCCCGCCCGGACCAGTCTGCAGGTACGCGCCCACCACGCTCAATCCCGAACCCAGGGCCTTCCGTGCCGTGGCGGAGCGCCGATTCGGGGGGCCAGAGGGGAGACGCAGTATAGTACACGGAGGCTGAGGGCTGAGGCGGGACGAGGGTTGGTTGGATGGATGGATGGATGGATGGATGGATGGATGGATGGATGGATTGCGAACATCTATTTGCGAGACTGGAATGCAGGACCTGGGGATTTCTCAATGATTTTTTTAATTTTGGGGGACGTGAGTGAGGAGGAGGATAAGGGGCGTTGTTCGGGTGCGATGGGGGAATGCGCAAAAGATTTTTTTATTAAACCATTGGGAACATGGTTCGCGTATTTTTGAATATCTGAGTACTCGTACAACCAGAGCGCTTTACAAAAGCCGTTGCTCCATGGTATCGAAAAAGCCATCCCGATTCCCGGAGAGCCATACAATATTCTTACAAACCAAGCGACCGTGCGTCGTTATAAAGCCATCAGTAATCGTACAGACCCCTCCTACCATCAAGAATATCCTTCTTCCACTCGGTCTGATGCACCAAATCGAGGATAAGCTCTCTCAAATCTCTCTCCCCACAGGGGCGCATATTGTCATTATTACTATTATTGTTATTATTCAGCAGCAACGCAACCGCCAGCGCGGCCCGCTCGCATTGCAACCCCTGTGTTCCCGCGAGCTCCGTCAGTAATGCCCAGAGATTTGGGAGCTAGATTATTTTGCCAGATTAGTAAACGTTGTTTGATATCTTGAGCGGAAAAGGATGGGGTGAGTGGTGCGGACCTTGTTTTGATAGACGCGCTGTAATTCCCCGAGCGAAGTTCGGGGATTTTCTGATCCGTGCCCGGATTTGGTGCTTGTGGTGGAAGGAGTGCTAGACTCGAATTCGCTGGAACTACCTTCAAATTCGGAGGAACTGCGAGAGTCGCGACCGGGAGCTATACTGTGACCTCTTTTCCTCTTCCGCCTATTGGCGAGCCGGGTGACTTCCGACGAATAGATACTCTCGGCGGCTTCGACTACTTGATGTCGGTAACCTCTTGCTTCCCAGAGCGTCCAGGTAGCGGAGCTCTCGTGCAGTGATGTCATTACTCCGGCGAGACGGCGGGCACGGCTTGTCTTTTGCGCCAGGTCGGCGGCGGAATTTTTTTCGAAGGCATGGGTATAGTAACCTGAGACGGCAGCATCGAAACTTTCAAAGCCCGCCGCTTGGACTGCGTCGATGATGGTCTGAAAGCGCGTGGTGTTGGTATCTTTATTGCCTTCGAACTGGGTTGCTGCGCTGCTGTTGCGGCTGGATGTGGTGGTTGTGTTTGGTGTATGGCCTCGGTGCCTCTTGGCCTTTTGCGAGGGTTCACTTTCCGGAGGTGAGTGAAAATTATTCGTTGACGATTTGCGGGATGGTATTCTCTCTAGGGGTGAATAAGACGTCTGCGTGGACGAGGTGGGGACTTGTAGTGCAGGCTTCGGTCTCATGACCGGAATTGAGGGGTCCATTTGGATTTGAGTGGCCTGGTGAAGACTTGGATTGGCTTTCGGCGTTGCAATGGCAGATGAGCATTTTGATTTCATCTGCTCTTGATGAAAATCACATGGTCCAGACATACCACTGCAATTGCACCAACTGGCATTCTCTGTACAACTCAAAACCATTAACGGATATTCTGTTGTTTACGATTGAGCGTGACATACTCGTGAAATCTTGGTCGAACATTAATTCATTCGCGTCATTTCCAAATCTTGGAGCTTCTTGTGGCCAACCATACCAAGGGGCTGCAGTAGTTGTCCCCAAGACATCCATACTCTTGGCTATGTCGTGCGATGATTGGGGTGGAGGATGTGTCGAAGTTTTAGTATTGTCTCGGTCACTGTCGCTTGCTGCCGAGTTTTCTTTCGATCTTTCCTTGACTCTTCGTCCTGCTCATCCACGTCAGTGACACAACTCATCCCATTGGGAGACTGGACTCACGATGGTTTTGCTGTGCAATCCGGTTGAGAACTCTCCGCCTTTGCACGGCTGCAGGTGTTGAGGATCGATCTCGTCGAGTGTGATGGGGTACGTATGGAGAGGTGTAGTTTGCTCCGATGCCATCATTCTGCATTGTGCATTGGGAGTGATTGACTCATGGAGCGGGTGTCTGATGGGCCCCATCAGCACATAGATGGGCGGGCAGACATATTATGTGAGCCAATCCAACTCTGTTTCCGCCTCACACGATGGACAATCTCATCCCAGCGGGCAATGTAACCACGAAAGGTACACCGCCCGGAGGAAGAAGAGGCAAAGGCGTATGAAACTTGTATTGGGAGATCATGTAAGAAAGAGGTTCGCATAACGTTCGTGTAAAGGCTCAGCTTGGCGCCACCTTCCATGTTGGTTTCGGGGAACCTTGTAATGTCTCAGGCGTGCTATTCTGCCAACAAACTTTGTAAGCAGCTTCTCTTCCTTCGTTTATTAGTTGGTTTTAGCGTAAGAACTATGCATAGACTTGTTGGTCTATGCACCTCTGAGCGTTGAGTGTTTTGGAGGAAGGACCGATGAGATTCTTTCATGATTTACTATCTTTTTGCCCAGTCAGCAAAGATCATGAACCATTACTCAACACTCGACATAACGACCGTGTATCACCCCACGCAGTGCGAAGAGACAGTCAGTGAATCCTTTCAATTGGTCTCAAAAAAGACAGGATAAAACACGAAAGAGTCGCGTGTGAGGCTACAAGGCACAGTGTAAAAGTAAGGTACCTTAGGCCAGGGCTGTGACCGTTGACTAGCCCGGCACTAAATTTTAGTGCCGTCTGTGGATTACTGTGGCCTTAAAATCTTCAAGCCTCAGGTATTCCTATCCTCTCTCACCTCCTTGAACACCGTGATTACACCTGCTGTGCAGCGAGTCTCATATCACCAATTCGTCTTTCTTCGGATTCATTCGCGGAAGGAATTCGATCGCACAGGATTCCTCTTTTCACCTTTAAGATTAGCGGACGAGGTGATTGGTACGGATGTAGACGCGCTAAATGGCTGTGCCTGGCCGATCTCTCTCCTACAGACCTAGCTAGCTATCGCGCGATCTGAGTCAGCATGAGTCAAGATATCTGACAGGGCGGAAACAAACTTAGAATACAGGGTCTATGCCTGCGGTTTGATCCTACGTGAGAACCATCATGTGTAATTGTGATGCTCCATCGGGCGGTTTCAGTACCTGATCCTTGTGGGGGCTCGCCATGCGTATAACGGGCACAACAAATTGCAACCTTCAACCGTTATTTCAAATTCCATGAGCTGAAGTACGAGGCTGTACATATGGCGGTGAAGAAATCGATACTGGTTTCGCTCCCTCATAGCTTTCAGATCGTGGAACCAATTTTTCCCCAGCAACAACGATCTCATTATGTGGAGAAAAAAGACAGTGAACATGACAGCACCAACGGCATACAGCGTTACCGGATTTGCATTGATCACTGGGGCAAGTTCACACATTTTCGTCTATAGTCCTTCTACAAGCTTCTCAGCCCTGGAGTTGCCGGCTAACTTGATGTGTTCTCACTTACCATAGGCGGCCTCGGGAATTGGCAGAGAGACCGGCTTTTCCATGGCCGAGGCTGGCGTTGCTGGCATAGTATTTGCAGACCGCAATGAGCAAGGAGCTCGAGCAGCAGCCGAGGAGAGCAAGTGCTATGCCCAAACCCCCAATTATCGCGCTATTGCCGTCGCAGTAGATGTGACGGATCCATCAAGCGTTCAAGAGATGGTTGACCAAACAATGAAGGAGTTTGGCAGGATAGATTATAATGTCAACAGCGCCGGCGTAAGTAAGCAATTGAACCCACTGTTGAATAGTATTGAGGATCCTGCTAAATGCTAGTGGGTCCTAAGTCTAACAACTTGCATGCTAGGTTGCGATGGACGTGCGAGACCGTATCTACGATGCTTCTATAGACGAGTTTGACAAGATTGCTGCGATCAACACGAAGGGCACTATGCTCTGCATGCGCGCTGTGTCGAAAGCTATGCTTACGCAGGAGAGCGTCAAGTACCAAAGTCGCAATGGAGAGCGAGACCTAGGTCGCGGCTGCATTGTCAACCTTGGATCCGTCAATTCGTACATCGCGGGGCCTAAAAGCCTGCCATACATCAGTTCTAAATTCGCAGTGCTGGGAATGACAAAGGCAGCTGGTAAGCTATCGCTCCTTGTCGAAGTCATCTGTTCCTCTCTGGTGTAACGGTGGGTCTAACCACTACCGGTATGATATAGCTTTTGATTGCAGAGCGGAAGGCATCCGCGTCAATGCTGTCTGCCCGTCGTTCGTCTCGACACCCATGATGCAGCACGCGTTGAACAAGAGTTCAAACCCAGAAGGAGTCAAGCAGATCCTAGGACCTGTTGGTCGGATGGCGATGCCGGAGGAGGTTGCAGGCATGATCATTTTCTTATGTAGTCCTGCCTCAAGTTACATCAACGGTACTGGATTGCTGATCGATGCGGGTATGTCGCTCACGAGTCATTTGAGTTAAACAAACAATGGCATAGCACGGTGTTGGGTGGGATACTAGCCGTAAACAAAAAGTCTGTGTCCTGAGTTTGTACGTATCACCGGGCATCGCGGGGCGCTACTATAGATTTCTTTGAAATCGCTACTGCGAAGTTAGCGATGGAGTAATTGCGTTACATGAATACTCTCATTTGAAGATAAGTTGAACAGGAGTCTAGCGAACAGGCAAGTATTTCTCGGAAGTGACAACATTCGCAACAGTGGGACTGTGGGTTAGTGGGTCCATTATAAGGCCATAGCGTTGATGGCTGTTTGATCAATCGTTTCATTATTATGCGACTATGCGATATGCGATAGTAGAAAGATAGGTGGGTATAGCGAGTACTATTTGTATAGCCACTGCATTAGAAGTAAGCTCTTTATTCGAATTATTCTCTTTAAAGCTATATTATTATTCTTCTTCTTTTTATAATTAAATCTATATATATTAATCTTTATTTAATTATTATAAATATACTTTATACTCTTATATACTTTATAATAACTTTTATTACTACTATTAAATCTAAAAAAGCGATTATATAAGTTATATTTATCTTTAAGATTATTAAAAAGATCTTTAATATTACTAATAAGGTCTTTAAAGTCCTTAAAATTAAAAAGACTATTAAGATTAAAATATCTTCTCTTTATAATAAGATTCTTATATTTAAAACGCTATTAAGAATTATTATCTTAGACGAGATTAATAAAATATTTTTATCTATTAAGAAATTTAAAATAGATCTTATAAAATTAATAATCTAGCTATTTAAGATTTAAAAGAAATGAAATTATCGCTATTATTATAAAGATCGAGTTTCTTATAAAGATCGAGTTTATAAGTTATATCGCTATTATTATCGTTATAATTATAGTAATTATTATTATTATTTAAATATATCGAATTTAAGTTTATTTAATTTTAAATTAAATTAAAAGAAAAGAAGAGAGATTTTCTTTTATTATTTAAAAGATAAAAAGCCCTTTTTTAATATTATTAAAAGATTTTAAAGTGTAAACGTTAAGTACTTTAAGTAAATCTTCTTCGAGATTTTTAAGATTAAAAACTTCGTTAAATTAGTTTATATATATATTACTCTTATTAAAGAGAATAAAAATATTAATAATTATAATTATATAATATACTATTTTCTTATATACTCGATAGCTATTAATTATTTTATTTATATAAATATAAAGAAAGACTTAAATAAGATTCTTTATATATATACTATTCGCTTATTATAACTATTTATTATTTATAAATTTAACTTTATTCTTACTTATTATCTTATCTTTATTATTATATATATTTAGAATAATTAAGATAACTCTAAAATCTAAAAAGCGAATAATTAGAGTTATAGAGATCTTTTTATATTTAGAGAAATTTATATAAGTAATAATAAGTTAAATATCGATATATCTAATCTTAATAAGTCTATTATAATTAAAAAACTTAAAATTTATAGAAGTTTTAATAGAGATAGCTATTTTCGCGAGCGCTATCTCTATTTATATATCTATTTAATTTATTAATAAAATTATTTATTAGATAAATATCTTAAGATCTATAATTTAGTAATAAGTATTTTTAATTAATTATTATTAGATAATCGTATTATTAGATTAGAATAATTTTTAAAATATTTATAAATATTTTAATTACTATAGTATATATCTAAAAGATTTTTATACGCGCTATACGATTTACTAAACTCGAATTTACTCTATTAAAAATCGTTAATAATTAATAATTAATTTAAATAATTAAACGATTATTCGAATTTAATATTTATTAAGATTATTTTAGCTATTCTTCGAAAGAGCGCTAAAATAGATTTTTAAAACTCTATCTTAGTTTATTATAATTAAAATTATTTATTAATATATTAAGCACTCTAAATATTATTAATAAATCTTTAAAAATAGCTTTAATAGTATTATTTAATCGAGGTTAACTCTTAAAACGAGTCTTATTACGTCTATTCGCTATTCGAATTAATATCGAAATATAATAAAGATTAAAGATAAATTTATAATCTCTTATTTTTATATAATTATTTAATTAATAATAATATTTAAATAAAGTAAGGCGTATTAAAATATATTATATACGATAATATAGTAATAGTATTACTATAAAAAGGCTTAAAGGCTTAATTTATTAAAAGAGATCTTAAAGATATCTTTAGATATATATTTATCGCTATATTAAATTAATAACTATTTAATTTTAATTATAATAAATACTATTAGAAAGAACGATATCTATTATTCGAATTATATATATTATTATTTCTATTTAATCTCTTTATAAAGATCTTTATTTAGATTTTAATTATTATTTTTTTATAGAAAGTAATACTTTATTACTTAAATAATTTCTTTATAATTCTTTTATTAAGTAATAATATAGTTATATATATCTAATAATTCAACTAATTATATAATAAATTAAGTCTTTAAATTAATTATATAAAGAATATTATAGACTATATAATTAAGTTTTTAGAAATTAAATTTAATAGTATTTATATATAGATAAGACTTTCTTTAAATAAGCTAATTAAAATAAGAATTATAATTAAAAATCTTTTAAAAAGAGTAATTATCTTATATTAGAAGCTCGAGTTAATAATTAATTTTCTCTCTTTCGCTATTAAAGTTATAATTTTAAAAAAAGTATTCTTAAAATAACTTTTTAATATCTTTTAAAGATTTATAATAATTATATAAATTATAGATAATATAAGAATAGATTTATTATAATAAAATATCTTTTTAAAATATTAAAATAGTATCGCCTTAATACGCTATATTAATAGTCGAGTTACGTAATATATATAAATCGATATATCTAGAAAATTTAATATAAGAGATTATATTTTAGATTATCTCGATTATATTTAATTAATTTAATTTAAAAATATTTTTAATATTAAAATAATTATATATTATTATTTTAAAGATATATAATTTAAAAAAATAAAGGTTATTTATTATATAATAGAGTTATAATTATATTAATTATAAGAATCTTACTTAATTCTCTATTATAATAACGATATATATATTAATAAATTATATAAATTCTCTATATATAAGCTAGCTATAGTTTTATTACGCGATATAATTATATTAATAACTATTTATAATATTATAATAATAATTATTTAAATATCTACGAAGGCTAATTAGCTAGTTAATAATCTATTATATTTTTAATATTAAAAAATCGTTAATATATATTTATAGCTAAAAGATCTTATATCTTCGCTAAAATAGAGTAAGATTTATTAGAATATTAATATAATTAGATTATATTACTTTAAAAAACTATACGACTTCTCTAATAGAGACTTACTATTAAAATTAGAAAGATATATATAATTTTAATAAGATTCTATATAATCTATTACGTATTTATAGAGATTTAATTTTTCTTTTTAATAATTATAAATATTCTTATAGACTAAATTATTAATCTAAGTATTTATTATATTAAGTCGAAGTTTATAAAGATATATCTTATTAATTTTAGATTAATTTATATAAATATAAAGTTCGATAATCTCTTAATATTTTATTATTCTTAATTATAATATATTATTATAAATAATTAATATTTTTATAACGAAGCTAATATAAAAGAAAGACGTTTAATTATTAAAAATCTATTACTTTAAATTCTTTTTTATTTTAATAAATTAATCTATATCGAGACGACTTTATATATCTTCTTTTATCTCGCCTTCGCGATATTTTTATATATAAATAAATTTATTTATAATAAGCGAGATCTTTAATAAAAGAACTTCGGCGAATAATTTCTTATATATCACTCGATAAAATTATTCGATAATTATTTAAAACTTATACTTCTAGCGTCTAAAATAAATTTATTTTATTATAAAATTATATTTATAATAATTATATTAAATAATAATATATACGTAGTTAAAGTCTTATATTATCTCTTTAAATAAAAGATTTTATTTAATATATCGCTATTTTAATTAAAAGATTTCTTCTTTATTAAAAAAGTTATTATTAATAATCTCTCGCGAGATATTAATATTATTTAATATTAAGAATTATTATTTAGATTATTTCTTTTATAAAGAGATTATAATATTAATATATAACGTTAATCTTAATAATAATAAGATTTAATTATTAAGTCGTTAGAAGTTAGATTTCTATCGTCTATATATCGTTATTTATTTAATTTATATATTTAGAGTATTATTATAATATTAATATCTTTTAACTTATTCGCGTTAATATTATTAATTTCTATTATTTATTATAATAGATATTATTAGAAATTCTCTTTAAGATCTTCGCTCTCTTTAAATAATATTTTAGATTTAAGAGTTTTTCTAGCGCTAAAAAATCTTTTTTAGATTATCTACTTAGTTTAGATATCTAAAAAACTTTTAATTATTTTAATATTAAATATATCTAATTATATATCTATATATTTATTTATATATATATTATTTCTATATAATCTTATTATTTATAAGTATTAATTATAATAATAAGATTATAAATTAGTAAATCTATTATAAGATTATAGCGTTAATAGCTATTTAATTAATCGTTTTATTATTATATAACTATACGATATATAATAGTAGAAAGATAGATAAATATAGCGAGTACTATTTATATAATTACTATACTAGAAATAAGCTCTTTATTCGAATTATTCTCTTTTAGAGTTATATTATTATTCTCTCTCTTATTTACACCTATATATAATTTTATTCCAAGTTATATCGCTTAGATATAAGAGTTTTTCTAGCGTTAAAAGGCCTTTTTCGAGTTATTTACTTAATTTAAATATTTAAAAAGCTCTTAGCTACCTTAGTATTAAATATACCTAATTATATATCTATATATCTACTTATGTCTACGTTATTTCTATATGGCCTCACTGTTTGCGAGCACTAACTCAGCTTTTCTACCAAA